AAATCCTTCTCTGGTCACCATTTATACACTGTGACCATCTCCTGTGCACACTGTGGCTGTGATGATCATTGCAGTCCCCAACTCCATGTGGCAGTGCTCTTACCCCTACTCCTCCCCGGCTTCCTGTTTCTTTTTGCCCCCCTTCCATCGGTTTTAGTTAAATGCTAGCCACCTCCCACAGCCCTCATAGCGAAATCTAATGTGCCCCACCCCACCCTCCGAAATCCAGGGGTGATTAGCTTGAAGGGGGGGTGGGGGGTCCTGATCCTGTTGATAACCTGATTTTGTCCTCTGAGCGTGGGACCCCCCAGGGGCACCAGCAGGTTCATCTCAGCGGTGGGCTCCGGTGCTCATGATGCCCCTCCCCATGGGCTTGCCCTCCAGGTCCAGCAGCTGGAGGGGTGTGGGCAGCAGGACCTGGACAGCGTGGACTGAGGCCAGGCTCTTCGGAGGCCCCTTGCCCCATGGGGGCTGAGCTGGATGCTGTGCCACCGTTGTGGCGGCCAAGGGCGCCGGCTCCCTGCCCTGCCAGCTCCACTCTTCACGCCAGCCCGCCCTCCGGCCTCTTCTTTCAGAGGGGCTGAAATAAACAAGAGTGAGACTTGTCACTGATCTTGCCTTCCCTCTGCCTTCCACCCTGCTCCACCCATGGCCCCCCAGGCTGCAGAGGGAGCAAAGGGTCTGCAGAGCTGGTTTATACTCGTTGACCACACCCATAGCAACCCAGCCACGTGAGGTCAGAACCCGTCCCGGGACAAGAAGACCTGGTGGATGGGGGAGGAGGCTGCTCTCCAGTCTGCTTCCTGATCAGCCCCACCCTGGACTCTGCCCCCCCCCCCCACGGAGGGTCCCTCTCCCCATGATTACACTCAACCCTCCCCAATAGGGATCCTAGCCTCCAGTATGCCCTCCCATGGTTACAACCAGCCCCCCGAGGGTCCCTAGCTCCCTACACCCTCTCCCTATATTTAGATCCAACCCCCTCACAAGATCCCTAACTCCCCACGCCCTCTCTCCAGAGTTAAAAGCAGCACCTTATGAGGTCCCTAGTTCCAGTACCCTCTCCCCGTGGTTACACACACAGAGACACACAGATACACACACAGAGAGACACACAGATACACACAGTCCCTAGCTCCAGTTCCCTCTCCCCATGGTTACACACACACACACACACACACA